GTGGAGCATCTCCGCCTACAATTAATAACCAACAGTTAGTTCAAATCAAAATATTGGTGGAAATGAATATAAACCAGTTCGACCAGCTGATTTACAGTGAACTGAAGCAACCAAGCCTTCGTAGGCCCGACTGTAGTGTACGCGTGTAGTGCAGTGGGCGGTGGGAGACCTGGACGGCGCATCACGGGCAAAAAGCGCTCAGTGATATCCTCCTGCCAGCCAGCACCACCGTCAACGGGACCAACTGTGTCTCCTGCCAGTGGTAGTCCGAGTAGGTACGACACGTCCTGCAGTGTCGGAGCCATCTCCCCACAGGGAAGATGGAACGTGTGCGTCTCAGGCCTCCAGCAATCTGCCAGAGCGGCAAGGAGTGACCGGTCTGCATCCCACCGCCTCGCAGGGTCTCTCTCGTCTGCCCCCGCCTCAACAAGCCTACAAAGTGGTAGGAAGCCTACCGCACGCAACCTGCATAATGGAAAGTTGAAAATTAGTACATCAAATTGAAGGGGCTTTTAACTATTTGCCACTTTTAGATTTGGCAAATAACTATTTGCCACCTCTATCTCAATGACATGTGGGTCCACATGTGTCTATGACATGTGGGCCCAGTGGCAAAAGGTTAATTGCCATATCTAAATGTGGCAAATGGTTAAATATCTCCAAATTGAAAGTCGACTCAAATCTGCTTAAAAAAATTGAAAATAGGCGTACCACGGAACGTGCCGCGGGTCGACACGCAACAGCTGGCGTGAAGGACGTGGACGGAAGGTGCCGAGCTACCCACCCTGTACCGCAGAGAGGTACGAGCGGTGGCTCCTGTCAATGCCACGACTCAAGAGCTCAGGTGTGTCGTTCGCCATAGCTGCATCAAAAATAATTATCAGAACCATAATAAATATAAATAACAACAATTCAATGTGCAATTACTTAAACATATGAGTAATTAATGATAGTATAAACTTCGATGTCGCATGCTACAGAGATTATAACAACAGTACAATGTTATTTCACATTGTTCACAACACAATAACATACTGTTTAACGATTACAACGAAATTCATTGAAATTACAACATATGAGTACTTGGTACGACAACATTACGATACAATACGCAATAATTTGCAATACATGACTACTAATTTCATCACATTACATGACATAAATACTTAGTCTCAGTACTTATTAGGATACAATACTGAATAGTTCGCAATACATGACTACTAATTTCATCACATTACATGAATGAAATACTTAGTCTCAGTACTAATTAGGATACAATAGTGCTCGAGTTCATGGTTCAATAACAATATTAGACCATCGCATCACCTGCCGCACGAGGACGCCTGGGACGTGCTCGCCTGGTTGTTGTTCCTTCCCCAGCTGGTCTTCTTTCATCACTTGCCTCTCCAGATGGACCAACATCCTCGACGCTTGGACCCTGTGCAGTCTTCAGGCATTTCTTGTAAGTACGGCCGCGTTGGTCACACTTGCTGCAGCGTAGAGTCCTCCCACCAGCTTCCGACTCGTCCATGTCATTTCTGATGCGTCTAGTCCGACGCCGCCCCTTTTTCACCCTTAACTTTGATGGATCGGGAATGAAAAAAACTTGGGACCTCTGAGTTGTGTTAGATCCTGAGATCCCGAACCCATATATCTCCTCACTCCAAGTATGAAAGATTGCTTCCTTCCTGAAATAAGGTCACACGTACACATCGGGACGTATGCCGCAATCACCTGCTGCTGCAAGTACGTGAGAGCAAGGCAGATGTCGAAGCTTAGGCTTCATACAGGTGCAACTGCATCCCCCATCAGCCTTCAATACACATTCGTGCACAGCATGCTTACGCATGATTCCACGCCTGCTCCTATCAACACACATTATTTCATACCGATGAACTTTTGTTCCTTGAGGCACAACTCTATGCCTCTGTGCCTTTGCAATTTTATCTTCCATTACTTAGTCACTACGCTGCCAAATATTATCTTGTTATCTACCATTGAGGGACCAATTTTCTTGTATCGATCCCAGAAGTAGGCCTGCGTGCCGTGAAGGATAAATTCGACTATACCAACCAACGGTAGTCCTCGCACTCCTCGCATTACCCAGTTGTAAACCTCGGCTAGATTAGTTGTCATTATGCCATATCGAGAACCATCGGTGTCGAACAATAGAGACCACTTCTCCTTTGGTTCATTCTCAATCCAATGACTGAACTTTCGGATAGATGATCCTGACCTCCTTCTCATTGTGGGTGGGTCATCATGTAGTGCACCAAGAAGTACTGGAGGCTCGTCGCCTTCAGCTTGTGGTCGACGAGATTGCTCGTCAGTTTGCTTGCTTGTCAACTCATCCAACTTATTCCACAACTTGCTTGTCAACACAGGCCGGCAGTGCACAAAAGCCTTCATGCAAGCACCCAATGAGAAAAAGGCTCTTTGCAACACACTCTTGTTAGGATCAACAGTCGATGGAAATGTATGCACGTCATAGTATGTATTGCTATTCCTCTGGGCAATGATGGCCAGCAGACGCTGCAAATTATCATATGATGCTTCAAAAGTGCCATACCTCATCTCTAAAACCTTCTGTTTTGCTCTCCAAGCCTTGGCATAGGTTATGGTGTACTTGAATTTGTCTTCAATGTGGCTAATAATTGCTCTTGGTTCAAAGCCAGAGTTACCGACAACACTGCTGTACATCTCACTTGCAACAAAAGCTGATGTGATGTTGCGGTGATACTTCTCGACCCCTTGTAAGTGGCACTGGTGCTCGGTCACAATGCTAACTTTCCAATAATCTTTCCATTTACCCTTCATACACATAATCTTGCCACGGACAATCTTCTTTCACGCACCTCACTTCATACACATAATTGGTTGACTTGACCACCCTAAACTCTCTCATCAATGAGACCGCCCAATGCTTCACTGCCTCCTTCATATCCTCCTTATGAGCATATGTAGCACCCTCAATTACCTCGTTATCCTTGTATTCCCAAGGTACATGATGTCCCTCTGAGATAACAAGTCCCGAGAAGTCCTCGTTTGTCCAATCAGTGGGCATTACATCACCTTCCTCGTCGGATGATGCATCGCCCTCCGCTTACTCGTTATCCGAATCTTCCCTCTCCATTTCATCAATGATTGTACTGATTCTCTCCCCCTCATCTGCCACGCCCATGGCCTGCACCACCCCTGTGTCATTTCCCTCATCTTCCCCCGATGGTTCAACAAAATCCCCCACATGGCTTGGACCCTCGACATCTTCAGTTTCCATTGCAATATTTCTATCATTTTCATGCACCGACACAAAAATAACCAGGGGCCATGACCTTTCAAAAGCCATCTCCAGATACCGTTTCCAAGCAACAGTGCTATGCATCGGCATGAGTTCCCAAAAATAACCTTCCGTTGCACGACTCACTACAACCGATACTGACATTGTGTGGACTTCTGAGTCTATTCTAAATACTCGCATCAACCAATTATAAATTGACTGAAATGATCTCTCGGCAGGCCTATCGATGCCCTTCGATGTCATTACAAAATCTGACAGATCAACACCATCAGGACCAAATCTAAGGTTGCCTTCACCGTGAACTATCTGAAACATAACCTTACTTGACATTGTGCTTGATGAAAAAATATCTATGTTAACTAAGTTCATATCATACTAACCAGATCTAACCCCCCATTCATCAATACATACTACGCCCTAAGTTAAAGATACTACAAATAAGTTGTATGTCCTATGTCTCAAATTCTAAAATAAGCTGTGTGCTACAGATCTACTAAAGTATATGGTAAAAAAACTAAAATGCAAAAAAAAAAATGGAAACACATTTCAAATGAATGTATTACCTGTGATGGAGTCAGCAAACCAGCAGGGCTTCGCCGCTCCCCTTCTCCTCCTCCTCACCCCTCCCTCTTTCTCTTTTTCTGGATTTTGAGTGAATATAATGAAAATTCTGAGAGGGGGAAGGGGTTTTATACTCGGAGGGGTAAAAATCGCCCTCCCTGCAAAAGGGCGGCCTGGTTTTTTGCAGGCGGCCCCCCGCACAGTAGTAAACCGCCCTCCGTAAGGGCGGCGAGGGGGCCGCCTGCAAAATGGCAGGCTGCCTAAAGACGGCTGTTAGGCGTGCGCTAACGGTGGTCAGCCACGTCACGAAAATCGCCCTCTGGGAGGGCGATTTTTAAATATCGCCCTCGCAGAGGGCAGCTAGTTTTGTAAAATTTTAAAACACAAAATTACTTTTTGTAAATATTTTAATAAAAAAAATAAAAATAAAAGAAATTCTTCAGCAACCAGCAAAGGAAGCAAATACAGAATCACATAGTCACTCGGTTCTTTTCCTCTTATTATCGTGATACCCTTCCTAAACTTCGGAGTACAGGATACGGTTTTCTAAAAAAAAAATCATACACATTTCTTATAAGTCCTTTATTCCACTTTAGAATACCGATCCATATCAAATGGTCTAAACAGTCCAATGATATGTCACCACATATCAGTGAACACCGATGAGCTCATATAGGGTGTGTTTAGTTCACGCCAAAATTAAAAGTTTAATTGAAATTGAAACGATGTGACGAAAAAGTTAAAAGTTTATATGTGTAGAAAAGTTTTGATGTGATGGAAAAGTTAGAAGTTTGAAGAAAAAGTTGGGAACTAAACCAGGCCATACTTTCTTCGTTTTAAATTACTTATCGTTTCTAAAAACTAATGATCAAACCTACTTTAAAGTTTGACTTAGAACAACACTAAACCAACAAGTAATTTAAATTTGGAACGGAGGAAGTATAATAATCAGTGTTTAGTTCTTTTCAAAATTAAAAGTTTGGATTAAAATTGGTACGATGTGACTGAAAAGTTGTATGTGTATGACATCTTGATGTGATAAAAAAGTTAAAAGTTTCGATCTAAACACAGCCATAGTTCCAGCAAAGACGTGCATAATTAGGAGGGAAGTTTATATATATTGTGTGCAACAAAGGGAAGTTATCTTTTCCTACATTACACAGCCAAAAGTGAGGAAAAGAGATATCCACAAAATCTCTTGTTTTTTGCTTGCATCCTCGGTGGATGCCATTGCCTGAGAGCTTCTGCCGCCATTGGAGCCCGCCCATGTCGTCACCGGAGAATCACCGCCGCCGCCGCCGTCGTCGTCGCGCTCAAGCGAGTGCGGGAGCGGCGTGAGCGAGGTAAGACTGGACGGAGAGCACTGCCAGGTTCTCCGGAGGAGATGTCGAAGAGGGTGATGGTGACGCTGGCGGCGGCGGGAGGCGGATTGGGCGCCACGAACGCGAAGCCGTCCGCCGGCAACCCACCGGAGAGGTTCGTGCTCCTCACGCCGAACGTCGACGACTGCCGCCACCCCGTGCCACGGCGGTCGAACGACACTTTGCACTCGAACCTCGGCGCGTCGCCGTGCCCGTGGGCCGCCGCCTCCACGGCGAGAACGGTGCCGACGAGGCCGGCCTCGCCGGCCTGCGCGACGTTGAGCAGGAACAGGTGGCTGCCGCGGCCGTCGTCGTCCAGGAGGCTGAGGACCCGCTTGCCTTCCTGGAGCGGGACGCCGACCGCCGCCCTGCGGCGCCACATCACGGTGGCCGGCCAGCCGTGCGTGCCGGTGAAGTGGGCGAGCAGCGCGGCGGTGGCGCCGGCGGCGAAGCCGCAGCCGGGCTCGGGGCAGAAGCACGGCGCGTGGGGGCACCCGGCGGCGTGGCCGTGGCTGTCGTGGTAGGGCGTCCTGGCGGCGCAGCCGTGGGCGGCGTTGGGGCAGGGCACCGTGATGGCGTACAGGATGTGGTCGACGGCGACGCAGCGCCGGTAGCCGCCGTCCCGGCTGCACATGTGGCAGCGGCTTGTGTCGAGGAGCTTGCCATGGCAGGACGAACGACAGCTCAAGCTACTAGAACAGAAACGAAACAGGCCCGTGTCTTTCAGAATTCGGAGCAAATGGAATTGTATTGGGCCTCAACACAGCTTCTTTGTTGTTGGGCCTACTAGCCTAATGCAAAATCTCCTTCACTCCAGGTCTCCAGTCCTCCGCCATCTCCATCTTCTTCGGCCGTCGTCATTAAACTCTCTCGTCCAATCAACTTCACCTTCTCCGCCGCCTGACAAGGTCTCGCCCACGAGTAGATTTGTCTGCGGCTGCGTACTCAAAGTCACCTAGCTACAGCCATGGTTTCCCAAACCGTCTTACCGCACCCCGGCGATAAGCACGATTACCACGCGGTAATCGTGGCAAACCGTACGAAATCGTGTAAAATTTATCAAACTTTCAATATTTTTTAAATGTATTTGAATTTAAGGAGGTTATCGTGGTTTTTCTTTTACCGTACCCCGCGGTAAACATGATAACCGCGTGGTTACCGGCGGTTTTGCAAACCCTGGCTACATCTACTCGTTGCCATGACTGAGGCGGTATTTAGATCTATGGGTGTAAAGTTTTAGCATATCACATTAGATATATGGACATACATTTTAAGTATTAAATGTAGTCTAATAACAAAACAAATTATAGATTCCGCTAGAAAACTGTGAGACGAATTTATTAAGTGTAATTAATCCGTCATTAGAAAATATTTACTGTAGCATCAAATTGTCAAATCATGGCGCAATTAGGCTTAAAAGATTCGTCTCGCAATTTACACGTAAACTGTGTATTTGGTTTTTTTATCCACATTTAATTGCTCCAATGTTGTTCAAGTAGGAGGTTATGAGATGTTTAGACCACTTGATCAGCTGATCAATCGGGTACTGAACGCAATGTGAAGTTCTAGCCAAGATCCAATGTAATGCTGTTTTTTCCTTCTTACATCTCTGATGAACGGCAACTCAAGCTAGAACAAGGGATTATTGCACCGGAGTTTATAAAAATTACGAATAAGATAAAGTGGATGACAATGATACTGTGATTTGATAGAGTAAAAGGCATTATAACATTTGTTTTTACATTGGTACGTGTAAAATGAATGAAAAATATATTTTTTGGGACAAAAAATAAATTAGTAATAGACTAATAGTAGCCTGGTGAAAGAGAGATGAGCCATGAGCAAAAGGAAGCATATGGAGAACAGGAGAAGAAGCCTATAGAGACGATGATCAATTGACTGAAGCCATAGGCGCATCAGAATCGCCGGCAGCATCAGACGATCCAAGTAGTAAATGCAAATCTACTTTGATTGGTAGGAGTATTGAACTCCTAGCAGCTCGAGTAAACGAGTAGTAGAAGTACGACTAGTCGCACTCCTAGCTTAAGGGATTAGACAAACCAGTCGCACTTGACATAAAGATACTACTCCATTCATCCTAAAATATAACAACCTTTATTCTTTAGGATTTATTCTAAAATATAAAAATTTCTCCATCAATATTTTCTTCTCAACCAATTATAATCCTCCACCATTCACTTTTCTCATCTACCTCTATTATTCATCCAATCACAACCCTCCACCACTTATTTCTATCTACTTTCTTAATAACCGTGTCTAACCCTAAAACTTTGTATGGAGTACCGTGGTACGGAGGGAGTAGGCCACAAAATGAATATAGAGAGATGATGCTGGTTGAAGGGAGAGCACTAGCATTATTCTCCCATGTTCCTTTCTTTTTCTTCAGAATTAACAGCCCATCAGGCTACTACTATAAGGCAATGACAACAATGCTTGGGAGGAATACGGTTTAATCCAGCGTAAACAACAGTGCTCAAATTGCGCAGTCCTAGAATGGATCATGAAGGAAATGATGCATATAACAATTTCTTCTCCTCCTCCTCCGTGCTGCCATTGCCATGGCAAGCTCGTCGACAGGAGCAGGTGCCACATCTACAGAAATGGACGGCCATTAATTATAACTTGAAGCTTCGTGCATCGATCGATCGTGTAAAGAGAGACCTGTTGGACTTAAATGTGTTCTTTCAACTCAACATAATCCAATTTGAGCCAACAAAATCAACAGAGGTAACAGCCGGCTGGCGGCAACGGTGAGAATATGGCGCTGTGGCAACTCACAACTTCGCAATCGCAAGTCATCCCGTTGCGGTGACTGTTGAAACCGACGTGTCAGCATGTACAACTCGATCAAATTCAATATTTGCGAGTGTTTTGGGCCGAAACATTTACATTGGCCGGATGGGCTTCCTTTCAAAAAAAAAAAAACACCACGTTGATCATCCAATAGGATTAGGCAGAGCTAGAACTAAATAATAAGGGGGAGGCTAATGCGCGCGTGGCCCCTCCCGTTCCGCGTGCTTTTCTTTTTTTATTTCTTTTACAATTTTGGCGTTCGTTTTCTTTTATTTTTTCACCTTTTTTTCTAATTTTTTTTAATCTTTCGCACACCTCTTTACAAATGTAGAATTGAAAGTTTTTAAATTTTGATTTGAAAGTTTTTAAATTTGAGTCGAATGTTTTCAAATTTTGAGTTGAAAATTTTCAAATTTGACTTGAAAGTATTCAAATATGGGTTGAAAGTTTTCAGATTTGACTTGAAAGTTTTCAAATATGGGTTGAAAGTATTCAAATCTGAGTTGAAAGTTTTAAATTTGAGTTGAAAGTTTTTCAAATTTGAGATGAAAAGTTTAAAGTTTCAAAATTTGACTTAAAAAAAATTCAATTTTCAAGTTGAAAGTTTTCAAATCTGAGTTGAAAGTTTTTAAATTTGGGTTAAAAGTTTTCAAATATGGGTTGAAAGTTTTCAGAATTTGACTTCACGTATAAATTTCTTTTCAATCTATTACTTAAAAAAATCTTCGTAAAAAAACAAATCTTATCTTGATTATCTTCATTATCTAATACTTATGGTTTTTTTTTCACGCTAAAAAAAAGGATTAGTTACGCGCTCGCTGTGGAAAAAAAATCCCGAAAAAAAAATCACGCTGACGCATGGTGCCGTGCATACGCGTGGTCCGTGAGCCAGAAGTCAGCGCGTATGCGCGAATTAGGAATTCTGAAATAATAATGGACTGGGCCTCAGCCTAGCTTCTTTCTTGGCCCAAACCCTATCCAGCAGCCGTGCCAGCGGATCGTGTTCAACCCCAAAGTTTCGCGATTATTGATAGGGATCCAAATTTTGTTGCTGGTAGCGGCTCAATATTTTTACAATAGTCACATAAACAATCGTGATTATTGATAGGGATCCGACTATCCGACATTTTTGTGAAAAAGGGTCCCTGTTTACTGTTTATAATCATCCCATGTTTTCATAAAAAGTCCCTATTTGAAGATTTTTCTTATAAATTTTGGATCATCGCGAGCACACTTTCTAAACTCCTGCACGCTACGAATTTTGCAAAAATCTGTATGACTGTATTCATCACATTTCTCAGCAATAAAATTAAAATTAAAATTTCAACTTTATAATATTTAACTTATTTGTTTGTGCGCTCGTGTAATATTTGACCATAAACCGAGTTCCATTCATAATTAGTCTAAGTGGTTTTGGAGTCCATCCACTCGAAGGACCATAACTCGTGTTACCGCTTTTGGGAATTTATTGGGAGTGTAGCGTGGCTCGGTCCTGCTGTTTGGAGTTTGTGCTTAGCTGCCGTAGTTTTCTAAGCTTTAGCCTTTTATTTTGCTTTTTCTTCTTTCTCCTAGCATAGGTCGGTGTGACTGATTGCGTTTTCTTCTAATATATTGACGTGCAATCTTTTTACGCGTTCAAAGTTCCGTTCATAAAAGGCATGAGGCGACGGAGCTCTTGCCGACTGCCTTCCGGCTACACGGCTTCTTCGCCGACTCCGACGGCTACTTCGCCGTATCACCATGGAAGTCTCGTCCAATCGACGCCACCCTTCTCCGCCGCCGGCCGGCCGGCCAACGCCCTCGCTGCAGCCTCGCCGTACGTCGCCGTCACTGTAGTCTCAACTCACCAAGCTACAGACTACAGTGGTTCTCTGCCATGAACTGAACATAACCCCAATTGTGTATCGTCATGGGGCTGCAGCTAGCAATGGCGTGAGCCAAGCTAGCTTGTGCTCCTCCTGATGTGACTGCATCATCAAAGCAACCGGCCAACCAGTGCCACCGAAAGGGTAGAAAGAAACAGTAATCAAGCACCAGCAAAGCTATCTGCTATACTCTACAATCTACATGCAGTAGTAGTAGCTGCTATCTGCTACTGTTACCTCCAGGCACAAGGACAGGTAGGGTTGCACACACACCCCTATATCACCTATGGCTGCAAGACAAGATCGGCTACCTATTGCATTGCATACAGTATTTGGATGCGAGTACGTACATTATGTTGTCGTATATACGTATAATATGGCGTATCCTGATGATCTGTCCTCCATGCTTACGGTGTATACGGACGTGCCGTTCCCTCCCTGAATGACCGCTCAACAAGACCAGATATTCACAGATTTCTGATGTTGTCCTCTCCTGCCATGCTACTAATCCTGAATTTTCTGGTTCCAAGCATGCATATATTCATGCTAGATCGCCAATCTGTTGTTAAAAGATGAGAAGTACGACGAGTATGAATTATGCGTACTACTTCAGAGTGCAGAAAATGTGTACGCATGAAAAAGACTAGCTAGGGCGTGAGCAGAGTTCATTTGGGATCAGGTTAATCCGTATTTTAATGATGAATATCTTGTCTTGCTAACAAGCTAAGGCATCCTCGTTAATGTCAATAGCAAATATTACATGTGCGACATCACCTGAAATTCATTGCAAACAACAGAACAAGAACCAAACTATACTTGAGTCCAATTTCTTCAGCAGATACTCCTACACGGAGAGGAAGTGAGAACCTACCATGCTCCGACAGAGAGACATCATGATGCTTCAAGTGAAAATTTCGGTGTCCCAAACATAAGATACTCCATCACATCGATTGGAAACATCTAACACACGATCTAGAAACTCAGCAATCAATCCCATCGACTGGAACAGCATGGACAGGACTGCCCAAAATCCAAATGGACGACGAAAAATGAATTGTTGAATTTATGCCCAGCTACTTCGCTGCTTTGTCTTTTCGCGATAGGACCCATTAACCACTCGGTTTCTTGCTTCCTATCCAATGTGTTTGTGCACTCCAACTCTGCACTCTTTCAAATCGTTGGGATACAGTAGTATATGGAATTATTGCAGCTTGTTCCAATCTTATCCGGAACGTCCGTTTGTGTCCAATTAGACAAGGAAGCAAGTCTGGAAAAATAATCAAGCATGTGCAGATATATAGCCCGTGGCAGATGATCCAAAAATACCTAGGAGTAGCAATCTTTGATGTGCAGACGATGCATGTGTGTGAGAAGGAGAAAATGTTTCAGCTACAGCCAACAGAGAGAAGCCAAAACCAAGCCCTGAAATCCAGCAAAAACTCAGGCACTGTTGGGTGTTGTCAAGGGGCCTACATTCTCCACAGCCTTTCTTCACTTCATTTCACTCACTTTTTTTTTTTACCTCCATTGATCAGCTTTCACCGCCCCCAGGCAAGGCCACAAGGAGTAAGCTGGAGTAACACCATCATAATACTGTTGCAAAGGACACTCAGCAATAGCTAACTGTCATTGGAGACACTGCCACCGTGGGGCCCACCTATTGCCTGAGCCCTTTTTACCCGTTGGAGGGAGCAATGCAGTGCAGGTGCAGAGCTGCACAGTACAGCATGGGAGGTGATTTAAGGTAGATACATGGCAATTTAATTAGTGGCAGACAGTAAAAGAGTTTTGGATCATCTGCAGTGATACTGTGTTGTGTGTGTGCTCCAGTACTGGAACAGTGTAGCCCAATACGTGTACTTTCTTGAAATCTTGCAGCCACTAGGAGTAGAAGCAACTGATTTTGTGACTTCTGATGTGGTACATCATACATGCATTGGTGTGAAAAGATGAAACATTTCTAAGCAAGCACTGTGTAATGATGTACTTGTCATCCAATGCTTATCGATGAGATGCTGCCATGGACCACAACAAATGAGAAAAAAGAAGAAATGAAACCCTTCATACTGATGAAGAGCTGGTTCTTGGTGTCAAAACAGATGGATCTCTGTTCCATGCTCCCATAGATCCTCTGAAAAATCTTGGTAGTATTACGTTTCCAGAAGACAACAGATATGTGATATGTCATCAATGTAGTTACTCTAGTTCAGTACAGTGGAAATTGTGTATGTTTAGAACATCGAAAACATTTACAACGAATCATCAATGGAGCAATATATGTGGCAGCATCAAATCTCTGTAATTCAAGTGCAAACTCCAAAGTCCAACAAATACCTGTTCGACTGCACTCCGGACGATCAGTAGTTGACGACTCGTACTCCCAGTAGCAATCCTGAATTCCTGATTTTCTGATGCTATTGCTGCAACTCCATCCACTGCCTTCCATACGACATAGCCCCAGCTGCATCCTGCATAACGTGAAGCAAAGTCTACAGCAGCATAGTACTGGAGACTATAAAACTCACAAAACACAATGCAGTATTGCAGTGAAGGATAGGAAGAGCCATCGGTCGTCATGTCGCTGTTTGCTTTTTCATCAACTCGGCTAGCTTTCAATTCCTTCGTCCCTCCCTCCACCATCGCCTTCCTTGCTTTGCTGGCTGCTGCTGCTCGTCCTATACTCATCAGTCTTCAGTAATAAACGTCTCCATCACTCACTCACCTGCTCTCTCCTTCTTTCTCTGCCTGTGTGTGTCTCCTCTGTGTAGTGTATCTGTGTGTGCATGCACAGCTCACTGCACACGCAGTGATGAGGCCCCAAGGTGTGTTGGTGCCGTTGCAAGACCGACATGTGGGCCCATGTTAGTGTTCCATTTGTGTGAACTATGCTGCTACTGTTTGATAGATTATCTTTGGTGATATGATAAGCTTGGCAGTTTTAGGAAAGGAACAGGGTGGCAACACTTCTGCTAAAAGAATGTACTTTCATCAGTTCAAGTGTTTGTTAATTGCCAGAAAGGAAAAGTAAAGGTGTTTTTACATAAAAAGTTTTGGAATTTATAATCACTTCCAGTTTCCCATGTGACCTTGTGCTCTCTATGTTCAACAAACAATGGCTTGCCTTAAAGTATGGCTGTATGCTAACTAGAAATTTGACATCTCTATTGAACTAAAGTAAACAACTTTTAAGGTATTACCTTACATCCACAGCCAAAGAGAGAATAAGTTTGCATTAAAAAGAAGAGCTAAGTGGCTTATTAAGCAGATCTGACCAATTAGATTTCTAAAAACCCAGCAAGCAAGTAAATAAATGCCACTCCAAAGAATCATAGTTGTAACCATCTTCTTATGAACCCTACATGCTCCTTTAAAACACATGAATTTTATAAAAAATAATAATATATAAATATTAATTAAAATTTCCATAAAAATTACACGAAACTTCTGCTTTCCAAAGTAGGTTTAAAATTCCAGCTAGTCAGCACCTTCTAAGTTATACTCCAAGAACTGATAAGTAATGACAGGGAAACTGATAAAATCCTCTCTCATGATACTACTTCCTCCATTCTAGAATATAACAATTTAGTACTGGATGAGACATATTATAGTACTACGAATTTAGACATGCATATGTCCAAATACATAATATTATTATACGTCTAATCCGATTATAGATTGTTATATTCTCGGAGGGAGGGAGTAGTAATATTTTTTAGTACTGCCAAGTCCAAACTTCAAAGCTCCCAACAGGCCTTCCCCAGTCTCTTTAGACAATGTTCTGGAGAGACTACAAAAGTGATGTTTTACCCACACTATTCTAACCGAGAGAGAGAAGAGAGAGGGTGCTCTGTATGTAACCATGCAAAAAAAAAAAAATTACTACACCGATGGAGGTGGTGGGGTCAGGAAGAGAAGACCCTCACCCATGTGGGAGGGTCAGTGAGATTATAGAAGAGAGGAGGTAGAATTGTAGTAGTAGAAAAGAGGAGGAGCTAGTAGTAGTAGAAGAAGAAGAGAGCAGATAGAAAGAACCCTTTCTTAAATGCAGGGAAGTAGTGGCTTCACTTGCAACGGTACAAGAACCACCATCACTTCCCTACCACTCCACTACTAGCCACTGGCCATTGCTCCTCTCCTCCCACTCTTCTTCTCCATCTCCTCTCCTCTCTTCTCTCATTCTCTTCCCTGCAACTTGCAAACAGTGCTCTGCAGAATGACCAAAGATGAGGATTTCAAGCTGGTCAAGATCCAGGTATCTCTCTCTTTCTCTCTCCGTTTGTCTTGCCTCTATATGCTTTGTGGAGGGTGCTTGAGTTGAGGACTCAACTGTTCTTGGGGCTTTTGTTTGCTTGCAGACCCATGTACTGAGGGTGAACATACACTGTGATGGCTGTAAGCACAAGGTGAAGAAGCTGCTTCAGAAGATTGAAGGTACTTACCATTTCTTTCTCGAACTCACGCAGCTTTATCGAAGTTACGGCCTTCCATTTCTTTGCTTCCAGAACAAGTGTCGCCACAGTGGTGTTTAGCTGGTACTCCTACTTGTTTTAGTTCTCCTTTTCTTGACGCATCCACTTTAATGAAAATATCTTCTGCTAAGCAGCTTAAAGCTTTATCCATTTGCACGCACCTTCAAAAAGCGCCCCTGCGTTTTGTTAAATGCATTAGAAAAACTAGTAGAAATCTCTGCTTTTGATGTGCCCGTGCAAATGTTCAGACCAAACTTGTTCAGAAACTCCTACAAGTAAATAGGCCAAATTTACCATGCATGTAGTAGTAGAGGTAATTCTGGTAGAGAGCTTAGAAATGTCTGACAAAGAAGAAGATCACCTCCACCCCCACCACATCTTGTGATGCGCAATTGCTGACCAGAACTTGGGTAATTATCGTAGCTCACGAGCAGGTTGTGAACTATCTGCATCTTTGTTGCAGGCGTGTACTCGGTGGCCTTAGATGTAGACAACCATAAGGTCACAGTGACTGGCAATGTGGACTCCGATACATTGATTAGGAAGCTCACCAGAGGAGGTAAGCATGCAGAGCTGTGGTCACAGCAGAAGGGTGGCAGCAACCAGGGCCACAAGGGCAGCAACAACCAGCAGAAGCAGCAGCAGCAGCAAGGGCAGCAGCAGCATGGACAGCAGCATCAGAAGCAAGGTGCCAACCCAAGCAAGGATGGCAACAAGAACAACAACATCCTCAAGGACCAGGGCAAGCAAGGAGGTGTTGGAGGCCTCATCCAGGGCCTCAAGGCCTTCAAGAACCAGCACAGCAAGAACCAGCTCCCTGAGCTTGATTCAGAGGATGATGACTTGTATGATGACGAAGACGATGAGTTTGATGATGACTATGAGGACGATCTCCGCTTTCTTGGAGACAAGATGAGCCAGCTTGGTTTCCTCAGGCAGCAAGCTGCAGCTGCAGCGGCGGCCAATGTCAAGAACAAGAATGCCAACACTGCCACCGTCAACAACCACCACAACAACGTCAATGGCAAGAAAGGTGGTGGCGGCGGTGGCAGTGCTGGAGGTGGAAATCACCATCAGAACAACCACCACCAGAACCAGAAGAATCCCAATGTGATCAACATGGCAGCAGCCAATGCCAAGATGGCCAATGGTGCCCAGAAGAACACTGGCGCCATCAATGGAATGATGGGCCTCAACCATGGCCTCGGAACAGCCGGTGCCACTCCTGGTTTTCAGGGCTACACCGGCTTCAACCACCCGTCCTATGCTTCTGCCGGCTATGGAGGGCTTCAACAACAGCACCTCCAGCAACAACAGCAGAGCAACAATCTCATGGCAAGCATGCAGGGTTACCATCATCACCCAGCAGCCACGGCGGCGATGATGAACAACCTGAGGGGTCTAAACAACAACATGATGATGATGCATCAGCCACAACAGCAGCCACAGATGATGTACCACCGGTCTCCTCAGATTAGCCCTTACACCGCCTACTACAACCCTTACAGCTACTACTACCACCCTGGCGCCGCCGGTTATCATCCCGCCAGCAATGGCGATGTGGAGACCATGTTCAGCGATGAGAATACCAAGGGTTGTGTTGTCATGTAGTAGGGATGCTGTTACAGTGTTACAATGTAGAGGTTGGTGATGAAGCATGGGAATGGTTATGCAATCCTACTGTTTTTTTCTTCTTCTTTTTCTTCATTGTTTTTCTGCTTTTATTGGTTTCTCCTGTATCAAGAATGAATCATGCATGTTGACTTAGATGTCGTGTTTGAAAGTAGTAGCACTTCAGAGGATGATCAAAAGTGTAATGTAATAGTTTTACCGCCTAGTGCTTTGCCCTGCCTGGCTTCTTATACTTTGTATATTGGTGTTTGTGGTGGACTTCTATGCCTCCAATGGTGCTCATGGCATCGGACTAAACAGTGAATAATCCACTGTTAGCAGTCAGCAACTGCATTGGGGATGATGTATAATGTATAGAATTGCTGGCAGAATTGTCGCACGCCACCCAAAACATGATCATGCATAGAAGTGGAGCTAATGAGCATGCCCATGTGAACAGAAAACAAATAGTTTACCGGTTAATTAAGTACATATGACTTGTCTGTAAAAGTTATGACTCTTATTTCAGGTTTCCCAATTTTCCAGGGTAGCGTTCTTGGTGAAAACTGCAGGAGAATATATCAGTCGAGAGACGATTTCAGAACCGAAATGAGAAGCTTGCTTACCTGTAACACCCACGATCCATTGCGAAATGCGAACCTGCAAGGGTGAAAATTCCATTGGAGATTAAAGCAAATAGTGAGCCTGCTAAAAACCATAGATGCCAACTATGATTGAATTTCATGATGAAAGTGTATGCTGGTAAAGGTAGTTGAAAATGAATGCACACCATAATGGCTGTTGCTCCCTTCATGAACTCATTGGTCCTGGTCCCTAACCAAAATAAATTCTGATTTCCCGTCTGTCCTTTTTACCACTTTTGCCAGACTTGTAGTACAGAAATCATAATGCACCCACCAAATAGGCCAAAAAAGATGTATATTGAAAAAGGAAATGGACCGGTGACATAAAGCAAATTATTAGAGGTTTATCAAGTTCATTTATACAGGGTACCATGAGATGAGTGAGGTGAGCATGGTGCAAACCATCGAATTAACCACGTTTGTCAGTGTTTGTTATTAACTATATTTAAGAAAACTTTAGGTATGCAGTTTATCCGCACAAGCAAACAGTTAGCTAACTGTAAGAGCTAGGAACTACAAAGGCAAATACTTTTGTAATAACACGCAGTAGTCAGTTTCACTTTATAAAGAATGTATGCATAGGCCTCTCGGGAAGAGAAACTGGCATGCAATTTGTTTGTTTAATCTTCCATGGATGGGTGGAAGTGTGGAATGGATGAAGTGTTACAATATTGTAAACACTCACAGGGGGCGTGCAGCACGCACACCTACAGGATACAGTAGTGACGGTCAACTCAAGGCAAGACCCAGATGGATATCTTGATGGTAAATACATAACGTGCAAAGCAACCTGCAGGACAAGGAATGAAATGAATTAACTCAAGGATAAAAACCATAGTTATGCATGTATGCAGCTAATTTCTACGAAAATAAATACAAATCATAACAAGTCGTAAGCACATTGAACCCACACAGGTACAAAAGAATTAATTCCAAACCCACATCTTCATTTCACCAAATTGATGGTCCCAAATCGAAATGGTAAGAGGACAAAACCTTATGCACCACCCAGCAAACAAGCCAAACCTAGATCACCAGCCCGTTTTTCTTTCCTTCATAGATGTAACAAAAGACACCAACTCCTTGCCTTATTGGTACCCAGCACAAATCACTTTGTGGGAAAGATGATTTTCCCCAACAGAAAAAAGATGATATAGACACTACCATCGTACACCATGCTAGTGAAGTTGAGATAGAGCCCTTTCTCCATTTCAGTCAACACCTCTCTTTCTATTGTATGCAGTATGTACACCGTGTGTGGGAGAGAGGGCAGGATTCCCAACAGCCATGTGAGACCCACGTACATCAGTGAGGCAGTGAGTAGGAGGGACCAGAACACAGGAATCAGTGGACAAAAGCTGGGACTCAGCTGAGGGCATGGAAAGCCAAACACAGTAAACTATAAACACAAAAGATCATCTTTAGCCTTTAGCAGGCAGCTTTGGTATATCATTAGAATAGCTTGTTACTTGCTTTTAGTACAAGGGATTATGATGACAGGAAAGGCCAGTGAGAGAAGCATGAAAAGGGGAAAAAATGTTCAGGAAAGAGTAAGCTTTGAGACAGCAAGGCCTGCACAGGAGCACCATGGGGGCATGTCTTTTGACCCGCAGGTGCGAAGCACAGTGAATTCGTGCTTGCAACTACCAAGAAACTTGGCCCCTGCAAAATGAACAAGCAAGCAAAATGCCATTGGGAGAGGTGATGTGATTTCTTTCCGGGATGCAACATTCACCCGGACAGACATGATAGTGCTATGTTTCAGGGCTCTGATACATGGTCATATGCCATGTGTGTCATCGCTGTTGAGTTACATATTTTCGAAAATTTTGAATTTGGAAAGTCAGGGGCACCATGCAGCAACCTTGTGAAATGGCTAAGGCGCATAAACAAACGAAATGGAATTCCATGAAAGCTCAGCAAAATTACCTCTAGGAAACAAAACCAAAAGCTTCATGACCAGACCTTTTCATTAGGCCCCATGGCATAAAAGATGCTAAACTCATAACTGAAACAGTAATCACCCTAATAAAATAGTCCAGGACAGTCATCCTGAAGAAATCACGTAGTAAGAGAATAATTTAAATAGACTGCCTTAGTTTAAAGCAAGGCGTCTTTTCTCACCCAAAAATCTAGATGAATCTTTAGTGTTATATGTTATAAAATAAAGTCAGTAAGCTTTAGATAAAGGATCAATAGGTTGTGGAGCCAACCTACCACAACACCGACGCAAGAAACTTCAATAAGATGCTTTTCAGGCCCTACTAAAGTACGAATAGCATTTCAGAAGTAACAACAGATTCAAAGGACTTAAATATTGATTTGTAACCGTGCTTCCAGATAAGAAACTTGGCACGGCGAATCTTATAATACTGTTTAGCTGCTGTTTAATATGGATGGAGCTATAATAGAGGCGAGAAGTGTGGATAAAATAAAGAATAACTACAAGAAGGACAGGGGCACACTTATCTGCATGATGCCAAAGGAAGCTTCCTTTCCTTTGCTCTTCCTGAAAAGCAGAGGTAAACATAACCAGGTTAAACTATTTACACATCATTCTTCCACGATTCCATATTCATCAACATCAAATACTATATTGCAGAGATGTAATTTCAAGCATCTACTGTTGTCAATTTCACCAGCCATGTACATTAAGAAAGTACGTTCTCAGACTTGTCGGCAAAATATTTTGATGCAAATATACAACCTTTCGCCAGCTTGTTTATGTGCACGGTTAGTGTGGCAACATGATCCAGCTAGCACAATATGCAGGCCAGGTAGAGAACCTTGGACCGCTCTGCGACAAATTCAACTTTTTAACATGCAGGCTGAATCTGTCCAGCCTATCAGACATGGTGTAGTGGTATGGCTATGGCAACAGCCTTCACCAGAAGGTTAGTATTAGCAATAATCACCCATATACCCTTTACAAAGCTGGAGTGCTACCTTATATCATACTTCTATAAGCAAAAACAGATTGTTCAGGCACAGGCCTCACGATAAGTATGATCTTTTAAATGCATGGGTGTATTGCACAAGAAAACAGTAAGTTCAAGGCAGCCTAAATTCAATGTACATCTTCTCATTCATAGGCACCTGCACATGTTCATTCAGTCAATTAGAAAAGCCTAAGAAAAACAATGCAGCTCTTCACAACTTCTGTTTTAAACAGTGCAAGTAAACATATGTATATTCTATGCAGTGATTATGTGGATAAAAGAGCAGGAACTCAATCTGAGTTGTAAGGACTCACCTAATGACAGTGAATCTGGCATTGTTAGCTGATCCGACTCATATGTCTAGTAAAGGCAAATGATTATTTCCCTTCACAAAAGAGAAATAACCTGAGTAGGTAGTTTCCACCAAGGCTCCAAGGTACAATAAACATCAAACGACACCAAATGCCGCATGTACTAGAAACTTGATGCCCACAATTGCAGTTTAAACAATCAGCATCAGACTCTCTGCTTGGTGAATTAGGATATACTACACAATTCAGAACCCTATTATGTTGTGACCGGAACAGATATGGAATTATAAGACAAATACTTTTCATAAGCACTTGTGTCATCACAAAAAAGATATTGATTGTGAAATAGCACTACAGATAAACTAACATATACTATTTGATGAGGCAGAGAAATACATTATGATGTGATCTGGACTCAACGTTTTTCATTTTTCCTCTTCCTTGCTTGTGCTTTCTGCCACTTTTTCCTAGGCACTAGCTTACTCTTTGGCTTTAGCTTTAACTCTGGAGAAAATTTGAAATTCGGGTCCCTCATGCGTGCTTGTATATCCTTAAAGAACTGTATATTAAGCTTCTTTGGTCCACCCTCCCGTAGCTCTGCATATTCTGGTCCTGAGACAATGTTCTCAAATGCACCAATAAGGATATCTATATCAGTGACAACATCAAACACATTAATGTAGCGTCCATCAGGCCCTTTCTTCAACTTCTTCAGAGCATTTTCTACAGCAAGTTTTCTTGCTTGCTTTCCAGGAGAAAGCTCTGGCGGCTCCTTCTCAGCTTTCAACAACTCTGAGATTGTGCGATATTTAGGTGCTTCATCAAATTCAAACACCTTGTCTATATAAGAATCACTGCGCTCATTGGGGTGTGCATCAGTAGGAATGTCATCATCATCATCATCTTCACTGCCACTCCAGAGAGCCATATCGTCTTCATCACTCTCAGAGCATATACTTCTTAATTCGTCACTGTCATCAGCATCAATTAGATTTGCATTTTCCTTGGCTTGTTTCTTCACTTTTTTAATTTCTCTCTCCATTTTTGTATCATTCTCTTCCTCATCCTCATCCTCGCTACCAGTCCACAGGCAGTCCTCCTCATCTACATTCTCTTGCCAAGCTTTCCTAAACTCTTCATCACCTGGCCTTCTTTTACCAAACAGGTCATAGCGCGAGCGATCATCAGCAAAGAATCGCGTTCCTGGAAAAGATGAATCCTTAGGATGACCTCATTCATTGGTATGAAGAAATACACTCTTTAGGCTTATCACAGTATCATAAAATTTAGTTGCCTCGATCACCGTTTTAATTATCATTTTATTAGATCACTTGACCGTCTCTTAAGGTATGTCGTTCATCAAAGAAGTGAAGAGATACAGCCACTGGAATTGCGGAATGTGAATGAGAACTAAAACAGTAGCAAGATGTCTTTTCTCTACTGATTCATACACGGAAAGAGACACATTGTTTCCAATAAATGGCACCCGCTATTTTATCATATAGTTTCAAAAAACAAAAAATCCTATGCCTTCAGGGGGTATCTGGCTTTAAGTAAGCGTATCTTTACACATCGTGCTTACTTTTAGACAGCTTTTGGTTTATCGTCCACACGTATGTCTTCCTAACTGGGTTAGTCCCATGAATTAGTTTTGGATGACCATAAAAAGGTTTGGCATACAACAGATGGAAAATGTGTTTAGGAACTAAACATGCACTACCGCAGGTGGTACTGAAAACAAAAATAGCAGAGCACCTGATTATTTGATGATTATGTGCAACATAATTCATTGTACTATGTAATGTCACATCCGTGTGTAGGTTGGTTTTTTTTAGGACGGAGGGGGTATTATAATTTGTCTACCTCAAAAAAAAAGCCAAATTCTGAGTTATCAGACAGAAACATAGTAATGAGGTTTCAGACTTCAAGCTGCATAGCATTTCTTCACAACCTCAACAGATGCGACTATACAACAAGACCTGGCACACCACTACGCAACCCACCCAGGAAAAAAAATTAGCAAGCTCGGGATTGAATTCGAGGAAACCTTACCTCCGAGGGCCCAAATTGGAGGGGTAGAAGGACCGGCGACGTTGCGGCAGCGGGCGATGGCCAGAGCCGACGGGGAAGAGGACGGGTCCCCGAGGCACCGCGCGGGGAGGCCGAGGCGGAGATGCGGGAGGAAGTGGCGCGCGAGGAGGCGGCGAGCCATGGGGGAAGTGGCGCCCACGGAGGTTGGAGCGTGGAGACTTGGAGAGGGTGGAGGAGGAAGAAGCTGACACGACGGAGCAGAGCTCGGCGACGCCTGGGGAGGGAGGCGGCACGGCGGAGCGGAGCGGAGGACGCGGTCGACGGCGCCGGCCCGCGGCGGAGTGCGGAGGGGAGGGGTGACGACGGAGAAAAGAGTACTAGTAGTACACTATATTTTTCCTCCCAGTGGAATGGGCTCAATCCGAAAGCCGGCCCATCCAAGAGAAATTTTAGAGCCTACAAGGTTATTATAACTCAGGAAAATATGGCCCAGTATTTTTACACTGGTTTTGGGCTTTATAATGGGCTTCCAACCAAGGCCTAATTATGTTACAGAGGTCAGGTCAAGCTGCCTAATCAACATGATGTTTCTCATAACAGGAAAGCAATTTTTGGATTTCGGAGTGTGGTTTGGTCAGTATATGATGCCTATAAATGGAGATGATCAGAGGAAAGGAAACTATGTTTTTTTTTAGAACAGGAAACTATGGGCTTGCTTGGACATCTCTTACTATTCCTTGTACTTTTACATCTCTTACTCTTAGTGATGAGAACGAGAAACAAAACCTAATAAACCAATTGGAAAGATAAGTGTTCAAATTTTGTAACAAAACAATCCATATTTCATCACACTGTTCACCATGATCCACGTATATATGTGACGAAAATAAAACTGCCAACATTCTCCATCTAGCTTTTGCAAAAGGTGTGACACCACCCACGGTACAGCTGTCATTTTAAACACGGCCCTGTTTCCTCGGAGGCATCAGACTGACATTAGGCCCCACATCTCCTCCGGCCCCACACGTCAGACGCACCCACCATCTGTACGCAGAAAACACTACCGTGCCGTAACCGTATTAACCAGTTATTAACCACCACCTCCTCCACCACTCGCGACCCCACCCCAGATCAAGCGGAGGAGGAGGAAGAGGAGAGGGCAAAAATGGCGCAGCTGCAGGAGACGTACGCGTGCTCGCCGGCGACGGAGCGCGGCCGCGGGATCCTCCTCGCGGGGGACCCCAAGACGGAGACGATCGCCTACTGCACGGGCCGCAGCGTCATCATCCGCCGCCTCGACGCGCCGCTCGACTGCTGGGCCTACCCGGACCACGCCTACCCGACCACCGTCGCCCGCTTCTCCCCCAACGGCGAGTGGGTCGCCTCCGCCGACGCCTCCGGCTGCGTCCGCGTCTGGGGGCGCTACGGCGACCGCGCCCTCAAGGCCGAGTTCCGCCCCCTCTCCGGCCGCGTCGACGACCTCCGCTGGTCCCCCGATGGCCTCCGCATCGTCGTGTCCGGGGACGGCAAGGGGAAGTCCTTCGTCCGCGCTTTCGTGTAAGCACAACAACGCGCCCCCCTCGATCTCTTCTCTTTACATCTCGATCTCACGGGAAAGGATTTGGGGGTTCGGGGGATGCGAAGGGTTGCCACCTTTTCTATATTCTGGATCGTCTGTCGTTAGGAGATGGAGGGCGTAGAAATTGTTATCGCGATCTTGCAATAGAAAGTGATTCGAAGATTTGTAGCCTAAGGTAATTTTTGGGGTGCTTCGCAATGGCCAATGGGGATTATAGGATAGGCCTCCTGACCTCCTCACGGCTCACCCCTTCTATTTGGGTGGTGGATGTAGATTATTAGGACCACTTGCCATTGGCGTTGGATTATAAGTTTACAAGTGAAATGTTCATTATTTATCAAGTTGTAATTGATGATCATAATGATTTTTGTTGGCACCAGATGGATATACCGGCCCTGCAATCATGTAATCAGTGGGGTTCATTTAGAAGTTTATTCCATCATTTATTTTTTACATTACATGTGTTCTCAATTCTGGTATATAAACTCATGTTCAGCCCTTTGAATCTTGTAGGTGGGACTCTGGCAGCACTGTTGGTGAGTTTGACGGGCACTCAAAGAGAGTTCTGAGCTGTGACTTTAAGCCAACCCGGCCGTTCCGCATTGTGACATGTGGTGAAGATTTTCTGGCAAACTACTATGAAGGACCACCATTTAAATTCAAGCATTCCATAAGGTTGCAAATAATCAAATAATACTGCCAGTCTTAGTCTGTCATTTTCATGCCTACTTAAAACTTGTAGTACACTGCTTCTAAGGTTGTTTGTTTCCTAATATTTGTTGGGATGTTCATGGCATAAGGACCAGATCACTTGATATTTCTTCTGGTACTACATGCATTACATGTGCATACACGAAACTTCCATTTTCCTTGGTATATATTTTGTTTTAACAAAGATGACATCTGCATAAAAAAAATATTAGTGTAACCTATTGCCCTTACAAATTTACTTTGTTTGTTCCAATCTTATCTTTATCAAACTTGTGTTATCTAAATTCTGAAGGATAATGTTTAGCACTTAAAGAAAAGCTTAAGTGGCTTGTTTCAGTGTACCACTAAGATATGTTGCAGATCTACATATTTCATGATACCCCTTTTAGTTTTCATTTGTTGTCATTTATGTTCTATATGGTAAGTTTGTTTCTTCTTTCTGGCCCTTCTTTACATATATTTTATGTTTACCCGATTCCTTCAAATTTCAGGGATCACTCAAACTTTGTTAACTGTATCCGATATGCTCCTGATGGGAGTAAGTTTATCAGCGTGAGTTCAGATAAGAAGGGTTTGATATATGATGGCAAAACTGGAGACAAGATTGGAGAACTTTCCAGCGAAGGCAGTCACACAGGGAGTATATATGCTGTTAGCTGGAGTCCTGACAGCAAACAAGTAATTTCACATTAGTTATTCCATATTGTTAATTATTGAACTATCAATTCTGAAAGTCTTGAATTTCTGGTATATTGAAATTGATCTTGGTCAAGGACTCTAGGTATGAAGTTCCTTCAGTAGGCGGCAGTAAAGAACAGAAGTGCAGATTCAGAAAATGTACTTCATAGAATATAACTTTGTTAAATGTTAATTATAGATAATGTACCTATATGATTGTTGGATTGTCTGCAAAGTATAAGCTTTCTGCCTAGATCTGAGAATGATCTACCTGTCAGTTGCATGACTTATTTATCTAGGATGTGCATTTTTTCTAATAGAAATTGGAATTCAATTTTAGTCTGTGCATACTGCATACTTTAGCTATCATGACACATCAGCCTTTTATGGTCTTATTGATGTATATTTTCTGTTTACCTTCTTGTTCCAAGTAACTTCATATGTTTTGCATTCTGTAATTCATTTCTAACTGTAGTTTCTTCATTCGCCCATGGCTCTAGGTTCTGACAGTTTCTGCTGATAAAACTGCCAAAGTCTGGGACATACTAGAAGACGCTAGTGGGAAATTGAACAGAACTTTGGCTTGTCCTGGTACAGGTGGAGTAGATGACATGCTTGTGGGTTGCCTCTGGCAGAATGATTATCTTGTGACAGTCTCTCTTGGTGGGACATTTAATGTGTTCTCTGCAAGTAATCCAGACAAAGAGCCAGTAACCTTTGCAGGACATTTGAAGACTGTTAGTTCTTTGGCCTTTTTCCCACAAAGTAACCCCAAAACTATACTGTCCACAAGTTACGATGGCGTTATCATGAGATGGATAAAGGGTGTTGGATATGGTGGCAGATTGATGCGAAAGAACAACACCCAGATTAAATGCTTTACTGTAGCAGAAGAGGAACTCGTCACCTCTGGATATGATAACAAGGTGAGATAGACAATGATTAGTATAAATACCCAGTGTTCCTCAAAACGTCTGTTAGAGTAATAGAATATGTATTTTTTTTATTCTTTGGAACCTTTTTCTTCATGGTATATAAAGGTTACAATGTTGTGATCATTGTTTGTGAATGCTTAAATCATAGGTTTATTAAAGAAACACTTCTTTGTATTTTAGTACTTTTTTCTTAAACTTCTTACCACTATGATAGGTGGCTAATTGTGTGACCATGTGTGCATAGTCAACTTGTTATGGGAAATTGGCATGGTTGTTATTGTCGGTCCTGTACTAATCTATACAAATCTCAATATTGAATATTCACAGTGTCTATCCTTACAATTTTAACTTAAATAATTTGGAAATTGCTAGGTGGGAAATGTGAGTAGTTTGTATGAGATCTGTATAACTGTATTTCTATAATGCACCAAAACAGTAACAGCTTAAAAAGTCTGCAGTCTCCAATTTGGATCAAACTTCAGGAACACTTTCATACAGATGCATATACTTGCCATGATACAATGTGATGTACCTCCCACAGTGCACAGAAATTGATTCTCGAGTCCCAAGATGACCAAAATATAGTGTTATTTTATTAATGCCAACATCAACTTCTGAGTTTGAAATTTTAAGTGTATTTCTCTATTCTTGATTAAACAATGGAGTTTAGTGATGAGCAACTTATTATTTTCTTTTTGAAAGCAGGTTTTCAGAATTCCTCTTAATGGAGATCAGTGTGGAGATGCTGAATCAGTTGATGTAGGAGGTCAGCCAAATGCTTTGAACCTTGCAATTCAAAAACCTGAATTTGCACTGGTCACAACAGATTCTGGGATAGTATTGCTGCACAAGTCAACGGTCATTTCTACAACCAAAGTTAATTATACTATCACTTCATCTGCTGTTTCTCCTGATGGCACTGAAGCCATCGTTGGTGCACAAGATGGGAAACTGCGTATCTATTCCATCAATGGGGATACAGTTACAGAAGAAGCATTAATTGAGAAGCACCGGGGTGCTATTACTTGCATACATTATTCGCCCGATGTTTCCATGTTTGCTTCTGCTGATGCCAACAGGGAAGCCGTTGTGTGGGATCGGGCAACGAGAGAGGTATTGCCAGTTCCACTTCAGTCTTTTCTAGTTGTTAAGGGATTATAGACTGTCCTTTTCTTGTTTTTAGGTCATCTTTTCACTATGCACTGTAGTACATTTTCTTAACCTGAAAATCACGACAGTAGCATTTGTTTTACTGTTTGTTTTCCTCAGTTTTACTTTCAATGAAGGCCATGGATCTATGACACTGTCCATTGGCAATGGCATGTACATTGACTGATATTATGAATCTCACTCTTGGTTACTGACTATCTTGATTTGTCACCTTATTATTACATTTATTCTTTACTTTTGTGAAATAGAAAATGAAAATTATGAAAATAACTTATTGTTGCCAGTCATGTATAGTTTGTTG